ACAGACATGTAGACAAATGGTATAGAATAGAGGACATGGAAAGAAACCCAAATAAATACAGTTATTTCATACTAGACAAAGGTGCCTAAAACATACATTGGAGAAAAGATAGCCTCTTCAACAAATGCTTCTGGGAAAACTGGAAACCTATATGCAACAAAATGAAATTAAACGTATGTCTCTCACCCTGCACAAAACTCAACTCAAAGTGGATGAAGGGCCTAGGAATAAAGCTAGAGACTCTGTACCTAATAGAAAAAATAGCAGGCCCAAATCTACAGCATGTCAGCTTAGGACCTGACTTCCTTAACAATACTCCTAAAGTGCAAGTAGTAAAATCAATAATCAATAAATGGGATGAATTCAAACTAAAATCCTTCTTCTTAGCAAAAGAAACAATTAATGAAATGAAGAGAGAGCCTACAGAATGAGAGCAAAATTTTACCACAGGTGGAGAGAGCACTAATCTCCAGGATATATGAAGAATTTTAAAAAAAATTAACACCACAAAAACAAATAACCCAATCAATAAATGAGCTAAGGAAATAACCAAATACTTCAGAGAAGAAGATATGCAATTGATCAACAAATTTATGAAAAAATGTTTAACATCTAAAGCAATTAGAGAAATGCAAATCAAAACTACTCTTAGATTTTATCTTACTCCAGTCAGAATGTCAATCATCAAAAAATCAAGCAACAATAAGTGTTGGTGAGGATGTGGGGGGACAGGTACACTGATTCATTGCTGGTGGGATTGCAAAATGGTACAACCACTTTGGAAAGCAGTACGGAGAATCCTTGGAAAATTGGGAATGGAACCACCATTTGAGCCAGCTATCCCACTTCTCGGTCTATACCCAAAGGACTTAAAATCAGCTCTCTACAGAGATGCAGCCACTTCAATGTTTACAGCAGCTCAATTCACAATAACTTAACTGTGAAAACAGCCTAAATATTCTTAAATAGATGAATACATTAAAAAATGCACACACACATAATGGAAAACTGCTCCACCTTAAAGAAGAATGAAATTATGGCATTTCTGGGTAAACGGACAGAATTAGAGAATATCATGCTAAGTGAAGTGAGTTAATCCCCAAAACCCAAAGGTCAGATTTTTTTTTCTGATAAGGGGATGCTGATTCATAATGGGCAGGGGGCCAAGGAAAAAGGGAGGAACTATGGATTGAGCAGAGGGGAGGGTGGGGAAGTAGGGAAGGAGGTAGAGGATGAAGGGGATGGTAGAACCATATGGATATTATTATCCCTATGTATGGGTATGAATGCACAAATGATGTAACTCTATATCATGTACAACCAGAGAAATGAAAAGTTGAGCTCCATGTATGTAAAAAAAAAACCTAAAAATTATTTTTTTTAAAATAAAAGAACCTGTTCAAGAAGAAACAACTTGCATCTGCTGCTGCTTCCTTGTTCTTCCAATTTTTATTCTAGCCAAGCCATTGTCCTATTGCTGCCCACACTTAGGAAGGGTCTCCACTTTAATTGGCTATCCCACATGCCAATCATTCCTAGACACACCCTCATTGAAATATTCAGAAGTCTCTTAATCATTGGCATTGCTTAATCCAATCAAGTTAAAAATTCAAATTAACCATCACAATGGTAGAGTAAAAGAAATCAGCTAAAAAGAGCACAAACTTCATGAGTCCATATATTACAAAGCCTAAAACACACACTAATAGTAATCCAAGACAGGGTTAACCCTTGGAGGTTAAGCAGGTGTGCTTTTGAGAACACAATATCTGGGCAGATGATTACTGAGGTGTGAAATTCAGAATGCGAAAATTCGCCAAGAAATATTCCATGATGTGGCTTTTTAAATTAAACTTCAGTTAAAAGTTTAAAAAGTTCTAAAGAAAAGATGACTTGTCTTGAAGAAAGTCAACAAATCAAATTCTTGACTCAGTTTTCCAATCTCAGTTCCTTTATTTTTTAATGTCTGAGAGAAAAGGGAAGGCTAGAGTAATTTGGACAAATAGAATAACAACACAGAGAAAAGGCAGAATTATCACAATCAAGGAAAACAGTATACTTATGCAATTAAATTAAATAAAACAGATATTTGTTGAGCACTTACAAAGAGTTGGGTATTGACCTCGATATTTGGTATATTTGGGGAAAAGGGAGAAAATTTTGACAAGTTCCTTCTCTTGTAGAGTTTACACTCTATTGGGTGATGAGAACATTATAAAAACAAAATAATTATCTAATACATGTTATAATTAAAATATTAGTACTTTCGAAAAAGTGAATCAGAAAAAGTGATCAAATTTTGAAAATATGTACAATTTTTACTTTTTATGTTATCATTTAAAATAAATAATGTTTTTAAAAGCACTAAAGGAAAACTGGTTATTTATTTTACAATGTGGTAAATATATAACGTTTAACAAAAGATTTGAAGAAGTACAAAACTATTTGTATTCTTCTTGTCATATAATTATGAAGAAAACAAAATTATTTTCTGACTCTTGGGAATGCTTATGGTCCCTTATTCAATCCCAGGATAGTCAATGAATGCAACTGAGTCAGCCTTATAGTGTCACCCCAGCATAAGTGAACAAAATCCCAGGCATCATGAACAGTAAGAATAAAATTGGTTAAGACATAGATCCTTGTCATTTTACTTGCTTTGTTATAGTTTTGTTCCCATACTTGCTTTTATCATTAACTGAGTCCTCTAAAGTACTTTTAAGATGTGGAAGATGTGGCAAAGCAGAGAAAGAACTTGACTGTATTTTTTTAGAATATATATATTTTTAGTTGTAGTTGGACACAATACTTTTATTTTATTCATTGTATGTGGTGCAGAGGATGGAACTCAGGGCCTTGCATATACTAGGTGAGCACTCTACCACTGAGCCACAACCCCAGCCCCTTGATTGTATTTTTTTTTTTTTAATTTTTTTATTGTTGGTTGTTTGATTGTATTTTTTAGTGTTGCCTCTGTTATTTATTAGTAGGTTTTTGTTTTTATGTAGTAGTTCAAATAGTGAATAATAAGAAAGAAGTTAACACATTTTTTACTTTCTAAGATTTCAAAGATTATTTCAATCTTGATATAGTAATTAGCTTCCTGTAAAAATTGGCGAAATTTACTATTAATCTTAAAACTCATTACTGTAAATTAGAGTACACTTTGCTGAAAATATGAGCATGTGCATGCTTCGTAGTTTAATAAGGTATTAAACTAGAAGGTTCAACTGAAGCACCAAAATATGATAAACACCAAATTTCAATGGAGGTGCTGCATCATGAGCAAAAATTGTAGAAGAAATGGTTGAAAACTGTTTCAACTTTTGAATCTGTAACAAAGAAAAAAGAGGATCAGGTTATTGAGATTAGTGAAACATTTTTTTCTTCATTAAGAGCTTTTGTTGTGATACAAAACCTAGATCCTCTAAGGGATGGGTGGGAAAATAGGCAAAATACCTTTCCCACTTCTTGGGTCTACTGAGAGTGACTTTATTAGGAACACATGAAGAACTGGGTCCTTTTAGTTAGAAAATCACAGTGATGGAATCTGAACTTGTATCTGAATGTCCTAAGGTCAAGAATCTGTGGCTATCAGCTTAAGAAGGTAAAACAAGAAAAAGTGAGCATTGAGGACCAAGTTTAATTACATAACCACCTTTTCTCAAAGTGTGATTGAAGATGCATCAGTCTCCTTGGACCTGTGTGTTGGTTAAATGGAAGGGTATGTGTCTAAAGCTAACCATGATTCTTGTCCAAGATGACACTTGATAGGTTATTCAGAATACAATAGTGTCTGTATTGAACGAATACTCAGGAAAAAAAAAAAGTGGTTGAGGGTGGAGTGACAGGTGAGGAATGGATTAGAAGACACAGGAGTTGTAGAAACAACAAAAATCTATTCAAGACCCCACCAGAGAGTGATGTCAATCTCTACCAAAGTCAGACACTTGAACTTATTTCATGAGAATATCAAGCCAGTATGGATTTTCTCTTCCTCTACCTTTTGTTTTCTTTTCTCTACCCTCTTTTTGCTTGTTCCAGGAGATGGTAGTGATACAGCTAGCAAGTGGCAGAAGATAAAGGGAAAAAGAAGAAAACCATAGCTTTTCTCCAAAGACAAATAGGTAGTTTATAGCCAGTCCTAACTAGGGAGAAAATACATGTTAATGTTAAATCTGATCCAGAATGTTGAGAATGTTGATTATTTTCCAGAGGTAGGCATTTTTAAGTATCCAGTTGTGAGTAAGTGGCTTGAAGTGATATATGAATTTCTATTAATTTAAAGGTAACTATAAAATCATGGTGACTGCCTGGATTTTTCTCTGAAGCCAGAGGAGGTATTCACTGCTCCTACCACTAGATTTAAAGGGATAGTTAGACAAATAAAGCTCCTTTTAGGATCATACCCTATGAATCCACATGTTTACTGTTACTATGACCCACGAGTAAGGCTTTCTGTATCTACCATGAAATGTGTTTGGGTAGAATGATATGAAACCAATAATTTAACTTATTATTTTGTTCTGTGGTGCTTGACAATTTCCTCAGAGCTACCTAAAAGAATGTTCTAGATCCGGTGTTCTAGATCCAATTCTAAATCTTGGATTCTTGCACTTTAGTAGTTGTGCAAACAGTCAAACAGCTGATCTTGTTAAACATGAAGATTTTTATGCTACATCCAAGAGCTTCTGGTTTATAAGATTTGGAGTAGAACATTGTTAATTAGCAACCCAAGACATCATGATGTTGATGGTATGAAATATCTCTTTGGGAAACATTGTTTTAGAGTAGTGTGTCTTAAATTTTAATGGGTATATGAATCACCTAGATAGCTTGTTAAAATTCACTCTGATTCATGGGTGGGGAATGCATGAAATTCTGTGTTTATTACTAGATCCTAGGTGATTCTGAGACTTTTGCTCCAAGTATCACACTCTGAGTAATGGCAGGACCTTGTTTTCCAAACCTGCCTGCCTTCCTTAAGAATCACAGATACTAGCTTTGCGCAGTGGCAGTATCCTAGCCAATGAGGTTTATCCGAGGCGTGATTATTGCTAATTGAAAAAAGAATCACAGATACTAGCTATGAGAAAAGGTCTCAGGTCTCTATCATTAACTTGTTGACTTGCAGTCTTCAAGTGAGAATCTAGAAAGTGAGGAAGGTCCTCAAGTCCCAGCTAAAGTCTAGAGCTATTCCAAAGCCCTCAGGCTATGTCTAGTGGGAGTCCTCAGGAAGATCCTAAGGTATTATGAACAAAGGAGCTATTTTTCTCCTTTTCCTTTTTTGGGTCACTAGCCCCGAAAAGAGAAAAAGAAGATGAAAAAAAACAAAGCCCACAAATTCTAAGTTTCTCCCTAAATGCCTCATTGCCCAAGCTTGGCCTTGTGCAAAGCCTCTCAACCAGCCAGTGGTTTTCAATTTTGACTGTACACAGGAACCATGAGTGACTTGGAAAAACACCAACCATGATATTCTGATTCAATTGGCTTTGGTATTGTGATTCTGATTTAACTGACTGAGGTGCTGGGATGCTTACAAACTCACACAGGAAATGGGCAGTACAAGTTGAGAGTCAGTGCCCTACAAGATGAGGTCAGACACAGTTCTGCAAAAAGAAATCTTGCTCCATTATTTTGTGACTGCTACAAAAATTCTGTGCTTGCAGTCATTTGAGACCAATTCATTGCTTCTAGAAATTACCTGTCAAGACTGTATGACCCAAAATTATATCATATGAACAATTTAGCACCCATTAAAATTTTGGCAAGGTTTACAAATAGGCTGACAGCTATTAACAGAATGCCCCATGCCATTTTTGTGCTATTATAATAACAACTAGTATGAATTCTATTGCATCATTCTCTCCTTTACTATATATTATCTATTCTTACATTGGTCTTTAAGTAATATTTTATTATTGTTGCAAGAAGATGAAAGTGTTGCAGTCCAGATGGCACAAATGATCTCTTTTTCAAGCTCTAGGCCTAACAAATTAAGTGAATAGTTAAGTCTAAGTATAGTGTCAGTACATAAAATGCAGCATGATCATAAATAAATCAAGATTCTCTTCCCCAATCTGGATCTCTTCCAGTACCTTGTCTCCATTAATGGCACTGCTCTCACCCCAGGAAAATTTTTGGAAGCAATAAATTGACCTCAAATGACTGCAAGCACAGAATTTTTGCAAGAGTCACAAAATAATGGAGTAAGATTTCGGTTTGCTGAACTCTTTCAGACGAGACTCCAGTTTTGCAATCCAGAAACATAAGACTTTACCTTTGAAACCTCCTCCCCATCATCTCCCACATCCAAACCTTCAACACATCCACTTGATTTTTACTTTTCATCTATCTGGAATGCACTGGATTTTTACTTTCATATTCTCTATGACCATGCTCCTAAGTCTAACATGTGATCATATTTAGTTTATTCAGCCCTCCAAATCAGCCTTCTTGAATTAATCCCCTCTTGCCTCTTTCTGACCCTTCTTCTCTTTTCAGATGACGTTCTTTTGGAATCCAAAATCTCAGGATAAAAACAAACTCTTTAACATAACCAACAACATTTCCCATGATCCTAGCAGAAGCATCTGGACTCCTCTAGATTTTCTTTGTTTAAGCCACACCGACTTTCACTCAGTCCTTACCACGTCTCCTGCCACATCTACCATGTGTGAAGTGTCATTCCTCCTTTGAGTCTCTAGTTAATTGCCATTGACCCTTCAAATTTCAATCTCCTCAGCACTTTCTCAGGAAGTCCTTTCCCTCCTACATTATTAGGGAAATTACCTCAGTTATAATAACCTCAAGAACCTCAGGCTTATTGCACTTATCGTAGATGCAATGTGGCATTTACTTGTGATTGTTCGATAAATGTTTATGTTGCCCAAGAGATGACAATCTCCAGAAAAAGAGAAAACATATCTTTTTTTTTTTGCTTTATATTAAACCTCTCACCTAATGTAGTGACTGGCACACAGCAGTATAAAAGAAAAAAAGGAAAAAAAAAAAAAACAGCTGAATAAATGAAATACAAAAGTTGAGACTAACAAAAAGCAAGCATGTTATGGAAATATTATCTGTGAATTTACAAGATTTACATAAATAAACTCTTATTCTAAGTGAAATCTTATATTGAGCCAAACCATGTAAGTCATATAGAAGCAGATCAGGGCTCTGGTTAAACCAAGAGTGAGGACACCACAGGTTGACACGCAACTTTCTGGATTCTTGCACCAGTTCTGGTGTATACTAGTCCTCTACTCTTCAAAACCCTAAGACTCCATAGGTCATGAATTGCCAAATACTGGTCTGGGTTAAGCTATGGATTTAACAATAGAGGGATCTGGGTATAAGGGGTTAAGGGACTTACACAATTAACCAACAAGCTCTGAGCTTTTGTCCCAGAAATCTTTACTGGGTCTGGGATCTTAAACATTGGAAAAAAAAAAGTCTATACAGCTGAACACAGTTTTCTCCCTTTGCAATGCTCTTTTGCTACTGTTTTGATACCATCTATGTCTTAAGCTGCCACGTTCTATTTATTTTTGAGGCTCCATCACTCACAATCCCTTTTACTCAGTCTTTCTTCAAATCCCCTGGGTGAACTTGGATGCATCAGTCTCAGTGTTCCCACAGCACTGTATCAAAACCTGAGTGTGGGACACAGAATTTGAAGAGTGTCTCCAAGATTCCAGCCTCCTAGTGACATTCTATGGAAATCCCAAGGACTATACATATTATAGATTTCACTCCTATGATTAGTTATGGCACCATTATACTTAGAAAGGAAATTTTCTCAGATAACCTAATCTATCACATGTGTTCTTTAAATCTGCATCAAGAGATCACCATCAGAGAAAGTCAGAGATGTGTGGCAAGAGAGGAATTCAATATGCAGGGAGTTACAAAGAATAAGGAGCCACATGGCAAAAACAGCAAGATGTTTAGGACTCCAGTCCTATAATCACAAGGAAATGAATTCTCCCAACAACCTGAATAAGCTTGGTAGAAAAGCCTTGGCTCCAAATGACGGCACAGCCCAGTTGACATCTGGATGACAACATTATGGAGCCTTATGCACATAAGCCCACTTGGACTCCTGACTTGAAGAACTGCGATAATAAAGCCAACTGTTTTAAGACAATTGTTTGTAGGTAATTTGTTATACCAGAAATAGAAAACAAATACACTACCAAACAAGACCCTAACAAAGACCCATGAACATGGAATATCTTTTCATTTTTGTGTGTCCTCTATAATTTTTTCATCCATGTTTCATAATTTTTATTGTGAAGATTTTTCACTTTCTTTGGTAAATTTACTTCTGAATATGTTTGTAGCTAGCATAAATGGGATTTTTTTCTTGATTTCTTTTCTTGCAAATTTACATTGTTGCAAAAATGTTACATTTTTATGTGTTGATTTATATCCTGCAACTTACAGAATTTATCATATCTAACAACTTTTTTTCTGGGGATTAAATCATGTTATAGGCACACATGGATAATTTTACTTCCAATTTGCCAATCTGGATGCCTTTTATTTCTTCCTCTTGTGTAAGATTTCAAATACAATACTGAATAAGAGTGACAAAAATGGACCCCCTTGTTCCAGATCTTAAAGGAAAGACTGTCAGCTCTTCCCAATTCAGTATGATTCTGGTTTGGGTTTTTCATATAGGGCCTTTAACACTTTGAGGTATGCTCTTTCTCTTCTAATTTGTTGAGAGTTCTTATGAAAAAATGTTGAATCTTATTGTTTTTCTGCATCTACTAAGATGGCCATATGTTTTTATCATTTGTTATGTTAATGGGCTGAATTATGTTTATTGATTTGTGAATAAATTCTGTCATTCTGTCATCCCTGAGCCAAATCTCACTTATTCAAGGTGTATGAACTTTCTGAAATGCTATTGGATTCACCTTGCTACTATTTTGTTGAGAAATTTTGTATCTATATTCATCAAGGATCTTTGTCTGTAGTTTTCAACACCCTACCAAAAGGAATCTATATATTTAACACAATAAATATCAAGATACAAATGATATTCTCTTGAATTTTTTAAGCCTGAAATTTATGGAACTTCAAAAGATCAAGAATAGCCAAAATAATCCTGAGCAAACTAAACAAAACAAAAGCACAAAGTAGTAAATATCACAAAACATACTATAAAGCAATAGTAACTAAAACAACATGGTCCTGGCATAACAACAAACAAAACAAACAAAAAAGCACATGTGCACACACACACACACACACACACACAGCAGTGGAAGAGAACAGAGGGCTCAGAAATTAATCCATGTAGCATGCAGCCAAATCGTGTTTGATAAAGGTGCCGAGAACATACATTGGAAAAACAACATCACTTCAATAAATGTCAAAACTGGTTCTACATTTGCAGAAGAATGAACTAGCTCCCTTCCTCTTGCCATCCATAAAACTCAACTCAAAATGGAACAAATACCTTAATGTAAGATCTAAAATTATGAATTTACTACCAGAAAACAAGGGTAACACTTAAACACATTGGTAGAGGCAAGGATATTTGGATAGTGTCCCCAGAACATAGATAACAAAAGTAAAATAGGCAAATCGAGTTATATCAAGTTAAGAAGCCTCTGCATAGCAAAGGAAGCAATCATTAAAGTTAAGAGCAAACTATGGGAGAAAATGTTTGCCGAGTATTCATCTGAATAAATATGTATCAAAAGAAGACATGTAAATGGCCCACAAATGTATGAAAAATGCTCTATAGTCCTTATGATCAGGGAAATGCAAATCAAAACCACAGTGAAGTGTCATCTCACCCCAGTTAGAATGGCTATTGCCAAAAATACAGAATATAACAAATGCTGATGAGGATGAGGGGGGATCCTTATGCACTGTTGGTGGGACTATAAATTAGTATAGCTGCCATGAAAACACTATACTGATTCCTTGAAGAACTAAAATTAGAATTTTATATTGTTATGGTTTGAATTTTAAATGTCCCCCAAAGGCTCATGCATTGAAGGCTTGGTCCCTGAGGCAAGAGTGTTCAGAGGTGGGGCTTTCAAGAGATGATTGGGTCAGGAGGCCTTTGATCGCATCAATGAATTAACCCATTGATGGGCTCATAACTTAATGAGTTTGGG